AAGTATGTTCTATTCTTGCATGTAGTTTTAAACGCTTCTAAGGTTTTATGTTTTCTTAACATGAAGAGCCCAACGTAATATGATTTGTTGTTATTTATCTTCTTTCTATGATATCACACTCTTGTTTCCTGTGTCTCTCAATCATCTGTCTTTGGATTCGTTTTCTTCTTCTATATTATTCAGTATCTGAGAGACCCTTTAAGTGACCCAGCTGAAATCGGTTGTGTTGCATGCGTTGAAAAAGTGTCTTAGTGTTTATTTTGCAAAGCTGAAATTGTGTTCTTGAAACAAACACTTGTGTCATGTAGTGTATGCATATGCAACTGTCTTTTAAACTAAATACTCCATACAATTGGCATAAACAGTTTACATTTTAAGAAAGACTAGTTTTTTTTTCTTGGTTCGTTGTGTGTTTAATATTTTTTTTTTCTTTTGAAGTTTGCTTTCTGGTGTTTCCTATATATGATAAATTATATTTTTAATTTCTTTATTTATTTTTAGAATTTAATTTAGTCTCATTATTTTTAAAAGATTCAATTCAGGTCTTTAATTTTTAAAAGATGTTCAATGTTATTCTTTTGTCCAAATAGATACTAACAACGTTAATGAAATTAGATGAAAAATGACAATATTAAATATTTTATAAAAATTAGAGAACTAAATTATTTTAAAACAGTGGAATCAAGTTAAACATTTAAATAATTTAATTTAGTCATCTAATTTTCAAACGACATTCAATGATGTTCTTCTTTCAGATTTCATTAACATCATTGATGTAAATTTGGACGGAAGAATAACATTAAACATTTTTAAAAAATTAAAAATTAAATTGAATCATTTAAAAATAATAAAATCAAATTGAAATTTAGAAACAAATAGGATGACAAAACAATAATTTAACCTATGATTATTTAGTTAGCCTTCCTTATGTCCCTAATAACTTAGGTTTTTTGGACCTTTTTGTTGTTGTTTGGGTATAACTCTCCAATACTATGCCAACCCAATTTAAAAGTAAAGTAACAAATATAAATATCTAATGTGTTCTAACAAACTTTGGGTAAGCTTTTATTTTATTTTATTTTATTTTCTCCAGAATAAGTAAGGATAAAAATAAGTAAACTAAGTCGTTGAAGGAAAATTAATGGTTCTTGGTTAATATTCAACATATTCATAACTTGTTATGCATGTTTACATAATATCATCAGTTGATTTTCTATTATTAATGATTGATATTACTTCTAAACAATGTGGGACTTTTATGCTACTACAATTTTAGAACGTAGACTACACACTTAACACCAAGGCTGAAGGGTATATCGAGATCCACAATGCTCAAATCTGATGAGACCTAGACAAGGAAATGACAGTCAAAATACTATTACCTTCATTACATTTCATTGCAAGGAAAGAAATTGTTTACTATGCTTACTCTGCTAAGTATTCTTCCCATTGGTGTAGAGTCATAAAATGACATTGGTGCACGAAAAAGTGAATCCATCAACTGTACAAATAAATTTTGAGATGATTTAATACCCAAGGAAACTGTAGTTAGACATCTGATCAGTAAGAAAATGGTTGAAATTGCTCCAATCAAGAAGTAAACAAGAATCAATTGTAACGAGCTGACATAGGGATTGTCAACATTTGCTGCCATCCATGAGTTTTGCAATATCTGGCAAATAACGAAGGCAATGTAACAAAGGGAAACCATAGAAAAGTATATATAGCCTTTCATCTGATTCAGATACTGCCTGTAAGGCTTCAACCCTGTGTCCCCTGTCTCTCTCTCTTCTTGCTTAATTAATTGATCTCTATTTGTTGCTTTAAACTGCTTCTCCATGAAAGCTTGTGTAATCTCTCTATCAGAAGTCAAATTTCTCTGGGAAGATGTAACACTCACAAATTGATTAGAATTAGAAGTTTCTTTGTGAGCATTGACAAGGTCTTGGAATTCTTGGCTTGAGCTCAAAATATGGTGATAAGGAGCTTGCTGTAGGATTTCTCCATCTGACATGAACTATAATGGAAAATAACTCAGTTACAAAGTCCAAGTTGGAAAAAAATGACTGAAAAATAACTAAACAATGATTTGTTTTTGGATAACCATGTTATTGATACGAAATATCCACTAATTTTACCGATAAATAGTCTTTGTGAGAGAACATGAGTGGTTATCTTTAGTGGGATCTCTCCTTTTAACCATGTTCAATTTCGAGATCTTACTTAAGGAAACTGAGTGCAGTACCACTTGGACAAACAACTTGTTGGTAAGTGGTAACTAAACAATAATTTACTACTCACTTAGCAACATTAAAATGAAGTGGCAAAAACTACTATAGCAGAAAGAAGAGCTCACATATAAGATTCTAAAGTCAAAACAGTCCATTTCTTTCTGAATTGAGGAACCTTGTTATTATTGATTTTGGAAAATTAATGTATCTTCTCTAGTAGATTCCACTCATCTTCAAAAAGTATTTAATGTTAAAGTCTTGATAGTAATTTAACAGGTATTTTCCTTAGGAAATGTTAAAAGTATTAATTATGATACATGGGTGAAAAACAGCATAATAATCGACAGATCTCGTTCTTTAGCCTAACATGTTAAACCAAATAGGTAGAAGCAGGATAAACAAAAAAAAAGATATTGAAACAAAACAAAAATGAAACCAATTAGTTCATTACATATCAACAATTGCTAGTTACATGGCAGGAAACAGAGATATGAGAGATGAACAGTGGCATTGGCATACTAAATTAATGCCTTAAGATGAATGAAATTACCAAAACAGAATCAAACGCTGGGAGAAAGTCAACTTGATGAGTCACGAGTAAGACAGTCTTCCCTTTTAGTCCTTCCATGATGTATTCCTGCCAAGATTCGAAGACATCTTTCAGTAAAGAATGACAAATATACAAGCAGCATGTGAATTACATCAATGATGTTAATGAAATCTGAAAGAAGAACATCATTGAATGTCGTTTGAAAATTAGATGACTAAATTAAATTATTTAAATGTTTAACTTGATTCCACTGTTTTAAAATAATTTAGTTCTCTAATTTTTATAAAATATTTAATATTGTCATTTTTCATCTAATTTCATTAACGTTGTTAGTATCTATTTGGACAAAAGAATAACATTGAACATCTTTTAAAAATTAAAGACCTGAATTGAATCTTTTAAAAATAATGAGACTAAATTAAATTCTAAAAATAAATAAAGAAATTAAAAATATAATTTATCATATATAGGAAACACCAGAAAGCAAACTTCAAAAGAAAAAAAAAATATTAAACACACAACGAACCAAGAAAAAAAAACTAGTCTTTCTTAAAATGTAAACTGTTTATGCCAATTGTATGGAGTATTTAGTTTAAAAGACAGTTGCATATGCATACACTACATGACACAAGTGTTTGTTTCAAGAACACAATTTCAGCTTTGCAAAATAAACACTAAGACACTTTTTCAACGCATGCAACACAACCGATTTCAGCTGGGTCACTTAAAGGGTCTCTCAGATACTGAATAATATAGAAGAAGAAAACGAATCCAAAGACAGATGATTGAGAGACACAGGAAACAAGAGTGTGATATCATAGAAAGAAGATAAATAACAACAAATCATATTACGTTGGGCTCTTCATGTTAAGAAAACATAAAACCTTAGAAGCGTTTAAAACTACATGCAAGAATAGAACATACTTGTAATAATTACCAAGGGAAAGAAAAATCAAAGCAACTTCACAGTCGTCTATGTTGAATGTTGTCAAAGGGAAGAACCTTTGGTTGTGAGCCTCCCTATTATGACTGCATTAAAGTATCTATGTACATCAATATACTATTTGGTATATGATTTTCTTTAACCATTTTACAATTTGTATGAAATATTCAAATGACTAATTTTTTTTTAAAAAAATATCTAATCATTACTTTTAATAGCATTTCTTTTCTCCAACACATTTTTTTCTATTTTCAAATTCAATTCAAAACCTTATTAATTAGAAGATTAAATGCTTCATGTTAAAAAATCAGTATTTTTTATTATTTGGTATAATTACTATTTGTTCATTAGATGGTATATCTTTTGGTATATGATTGCGTTAAAGTAGACATTATTAAAATAATAAAACCAGATCTTCTATAAATCTGAAAGCAATTATATATAATGCATTTAGCTGACTCTTAATCTAGAAAAGATAATAAATAATAATGTGTTACACGCGGTAATTTTTTAAGGACGCGTTGCATGCATGGTTAGTAATAAAACCCAGCTACTTAACCTTTTTTTATTTTTAATAAAACCTCAGTCTTTTGAGATATTCAATCTTCATAAAAGCACTGTTTGGCTTAAAATATATTCAATTGACTTGTAGAGTTGTAGTTGTAGTCGTTTTTTAGAGATAGCTATTGCTCATAACACCTAGCTCCCCTCCATAGTAATAGATCAAATTTGTGGGATTAATGATTAATTCCATGCAAACATATTTTGTCAAGTTCTAATTAAAAAGATTCAAAATATTTATGGTAATATGCTAGAAACAGAAATAATTTTAATCTAAGAAAAATATTGTCGTTTCTTGAAAGTTATTTCAGTAAGTTTATTATGATTTAATCGCATATATAAAATTTAGAAGTCAACAATAATCTTTTATTCGTACTATATAATCTTTAGAGTTAAATGTTAAAAATTTTATTTCTAATAATTATTGTGGGCTACATATATTATTTGTAGTATTTATATTAGTTATTTACATTTAGTTAGGCTCAATAAAAGTGATCTAATTTTAGTGAGCCTTTAGACTGCCAACAGGAAAAATTGATATGGGCCCATATAAGTAGAAACCAGATTTGGCCCGTTAGGGGTTAATGGGAACCCTAATAGGTTTAAAATCATAAAGATGGTCATGATCCCCAATATGTCAAATCAGAAACACACGTCTCTCTGTCTCCCCATCAGAAGAGTAACATCAAGTC